GGGGCCGTAAGTATGTTATGCATTTCTTTCTTTGCTATAATTTAAAAAAAATTAATACATGGCTTTTGGCTAACATGTGACATGTCAACGCGTCTTGTTAAGTTTTAAATGGGACTATGAGTCATACCGAGACAGATAACTGGTCGGATTTAACTGGGTTATGCGTGCAGAGCTCTTTACTGGCAAGTAGTTTGAAGCCTCTTTGGCAATACTTCATTTAGAACCTTTCGTGCTTAACGTTTAATTTCTATTTATTTTGACGTGTTCTCATGTGACAGAAGCTCTTGCACAAAAAAAGGAGAAGAAAAAAAAAGAAAAGAACGTGAGCATGTGCTTACATTTGAATATAACTGTCCACGTACACGCCAAGCTGTAAGGTATTCACATCTGTGACCCGTATCCTTATTATTACCTTTAATGTATCAACGGCATCGATTGGCATTCTGAAACGGTCTCTATAAACTGTCCACATTGTAATATTGATGTTAAAATGTGTCATCGGTGGCCGCTGATTTATGGAAACGCACAGACTTAGATAAGCAGGCACAAACTACTACACGCCTTGAGGTGAGGCAGATGTTGGTACACACGCACACGTCTTGTTTGTTTGGGTTTAGACAGCGCGTGTCAAGTTTACATAGCCCTTGTAGACGTACTTTAGCGGGTTCTTTTGGCGATGTGAGAGAATGGCTGCAGTTGACTTTACTTACGTGTAGTGCGTGATGAATGTGAGGTTTTTGAGGCTATCATTTTTTTTATTCTTTGAAAAAAAGGGTAGGGGGAGGAGGGGTGGGGGAAGGATTAGTGCGTGGGAAGGGAAGCCAGAATAAGACAAAAATCAGGTGGTTTTTTGGGGGGCGGGGACGGGGGTTGCGTCCTCTGCGTGTTCCTCCGTTTTTGTCATAACTGTTACGTAATTTCTTTCTTTCTTTCCTTGTCCTCAACATTGCTGCCATATTTGTTGTTATTGTGGTAAATGATCATATCCCCTCGTTGTTGTCGTCTCAACCATGTGGATAAGTGCGACTAGAAGGATGGAATGATGACTATGATGTCACGTTGATGGTCTTTAGAACTTACTCATTTTTATCTCTTTTATTTAAAAACGAGTTGAAAACCAGTCCTAGAACTCGTGGTTTGTTGGTGGTTAGCGGGTGCTATGGCGTAGTTTTCTCCATCTTTTCTATTATATACCAATCGCCTTTACTTCACCTTCTCTTTGTGTATATTACTCTTTTTTAACTCCTCTAATCTTCAGCACTTATATGACCTTATTGCACTAAAACTGAAGATTTGTGGTCAGTTAGATCATTTATGAAACAGTCGTTTTCTTCGTTTCTCTCCATATTTCTACTTCCATTCATTTTTGTTTGTTTGAGTGAAAGGACCCACATCGAGAATATAATGGCCATTTAGTGGTGGGAAAAAAGTAGAGCTGACAGACAGAAACAACAGGGTAAAGTAAAGAAGTAGGACGACCTACTAGTGGCACCCTCCAACCACCCACTTCCATTCTTTAGACATGACAAAATGTGGCGTTATCGTGTTTGGAAGTCCTTGTCAGAGCCCCCTGCACAGTCCCCTTCACGTGTGTAATTTTTTGACCAGGACAGAGAAAGCGTCCTATTCAGTCCATCGTCACGCCGAAGTAAGTGTTGGGATCTTTCTAACCCGTCAATATTTTGTGTGCCACAGCACGCGTGGTTTACGGATGTTTTCTTTTGTTGTGATTCTATTCGTCTTTTTAGTGATACGAATCCCAGTGTGTTCCTGACAAAATGTGGCCGTTTTGGCGTGCACCGTCCGTGATCTTTACTTAAACACTCAGTGAATGACTAGACATGGCATTGTTTATTATAACAGTTAAACCTGTGGCTTGGCGTCCCAAGGATGTGAGTTCGATTTCTACCTCGGGCAGAATGTCATTTGGGTGTCTTCATCTTTCTGTTTGCGTGTTTTTCACATGGTCGGCGTTTGCTGTAACAAACAGTCATCACATCAGCCGATAATTTTTCTTTTGACTATGATCGTCGAAACCTGTTGTTTGCTTGTCTACCTGTGTCCGTTTCAGATTTATAGACTGTACAGTCACACTTGCTCTAACGACCACCTGTCCAAGACGATTGCCTATACAAAAGACCTCTTCCCGTTTCCTCACGTGCGTTTTTAAAGTGTTGTAATGACTTTTCTCGCCGACGTTGGTTTGATTTCCTCGACAGTTTCAACTGTAGTTTGTAGTACCGGCGCCTCGTTTAACCGCTAAAAGTGCCCGGGGGCTCTCGTGGCCTAGAGGTTAAGGTGTTGGCCTCTCATTCAAAGGTCCCGGGTTCGAATCCGGGTAGTGACCGAAAAATTTTCTTCTCTAAAATTGTCTCCTTTCACCTCCTTTCCTGCTCTCTGGCAATGTTCTGTTGTCTACTTTCATTTCCACTTTCTGCCCCCA